TTTAAAATATATTTTTATTGCTACTTGTAGTTTGAGTTTCTAAACTTTTGATCTTTTATAAGGATGAGATATTTTAATAAAAATACTATCTCTTCTATATATTGATTATCTAAATTTAATTACTTTTTAATGTATATCTAAATTAAATATTTATTCTAATGTATAATTCTAATTTTACAAAAAAATTATCATATAATAAAAAATATTATTACATTATAATATGAATGATTATTCTAATATATGAATTAACTATTTTTATTTTATTAAAAATAATCATTAAATAAAAAATATTGATTATATTATAATATGAATTATCATTACAATTTTCAAACGTTATTATAAAGTCAAATTAAATTATTGATTTGAAATTTTAAATTAAATCATAATTAATCAGATCAGACCAGATCAGATCAGATCAGACCAGATCAGATCAGATCCCATCAGATCAGATCAAATCAGATCAGATCAGATTAGATCAGACCAGACCAGATCAGAACTTATTAGAATCAGATCAGATCAGAAAAAATAAGTTGAACGGATCGGAGCCTAAATAGATTACTTAATTGAGAAATTTACTTAAATAGGACTAAAACATAATGATTTTCTCAATATAAAATCATATGTTTTTATTTCCCAATGTAGAGCCTTTGATCATTATCAAGTAATCATTATTCAACTAAATGTCCATCATTACTGGACTTTTTTCTTTCCACTAGGTCATTATTAAGTTCTATTTAGGAAATAAAAAAGTTCAAGTCCTATATTAGAAAAGTCATTATGTTTTAGTCTTATTCAGTACAAATTTCAATACTTAATTTAGCTAAACCATATTTAATTCAACTGAAATTATAATTACTCATCTATAATTACTCTATCTTAAATACATAACTTAGTCCTTACATACAGACTTTTGGAAGTGTCCTCATGTAAGAGGAGTCCCCATTGCATACATCTATGTAGTCAAAGAGTATGTACGATAGAGCAAGAAGTATGGTAAGTACTGTCAAGGTGAGGTGGGATTGCGCTAATAGTTTGCCCTCGACCCTTTCACGTTCACTCTAGTGATGGACGCCCTGATCGAAGAGTCCAAAGAGAGATCCCATGTGCATGCTTTTTGCAGATAATATTGTGCTTACAAACGAAGCCGCGAGGGACTATACGATAAGTTGGAACTTTGGCGCCTTTCCCTAAAATCTAAATGACTCATACAGTCATACTAAGTAGGACCAAGATTGAATACATGGAATGTCTTTTTAGTTCTCGAGAGATAGAATAAGGGTGCAATTAAAGTCAGAAACTTAGAATTAACACTCACCTGGCATCAAAGGTAGGCAAATTTTGGTATCTTGGCGCGATCATTCAAGAAAATGGGAGTTGGATGGGAATGTTGCACATCATGTTGGAGCAGTGTGGGCTAAGTGAAGGTTCGCTTTAAAGATAGTGTGCTATTAGAAGATTTCGGGTAGCACGAATTGTAAGTTCTATCATGGCATAATTAAACTAATTATGTTGTGTGAGGTAGAGTGCTGGGTGATTTAAGAAAAGCCACGTTCACCAACTGCGGGAGATGGAGATGTTACGGTGGATGTGTGGGCAGACGAAATTGGATAGAATTCCAGACAAGGTTATCCGAGGTCGGGTAAACATGGCTCCAGTGGAAGATAAATTGTGAGAAACAAGGTTGAGGTGGTATTGGCGCGTGAGATGGTGGAATGCTCACGTCCAAGTGCGGAGATGCGAGAGGCTTACATTGGAGGGGGGTAGTAAGAGAATGCGTTGACCTAAAAAGAATTAGTAGACAGTGATTAGACATAGCTTCAAAGTTCTTAGTTTTACTGAGAATATGACCTTAGATAAAATCGTTGAAGATTAAAGTAGTTGGATATACACATTGGGCTAGAGGTAGTGCTTTGTACTTGTTGTGTGCCTCGTTTGACTTATATGTTTGGTTCTTTTATTTGTAATGGTGCTTCTTCATAGTTTGTTATGTTGTAGTGGTGTGATTATTGCTTTTTTCGTGCTTTAGTATGTGCTTGTTCTACTATTTGTATTTCTTGTGATATTTTTATTGGTATAGCTTGGGCGGGGTCTCTTGAGAACAGTCTCTCCTCTAGATAGAAGTAATGTTTACGGACACACATTTTCATACCCCATTTACATGAGATCTAATTGGATTGTTGTTGTTGTTGTTAGTTAATCTTAGAGCATGGGCAACGGCATGTAGCCTTTCATGCTTTGCCGATGCCTCGCTGCCACATTGCCATGGAGGACATTGTTATCATGCGTGGATAGAGCATGTCACCCCTCTTTGCGAGTCACAAGCGTGACAATCTTGCACCCATTTTATTTTATTTTTTAATTTTTTTTCTTTTTTTAAGGAGAAAAATTTGTTAATTTTTTTTGAGTAAGTAGTATTATTTTTATGATAAATAAAATAAGTATAACAATTTTTACTAATTAAAATATGTCAAAAAATATAAAAAGACACTAAAAATAATGGCTTGTCATTGTAAAGTTTGACACTTTACTCATTTACCACACGATGACTAGTCTGTCTTTTATTAGTTAAAATACCTCACGTCAGCGTGTGTCATTCCACTCATTATTTGTCATTGCATGTGCTCTTATATTTCGTATGATTTGAACTAAACTTATAGATACTAAGGACATGTCCATTTCAATAAGAATAAGTAATAATTAATAAAATTAAGTTGACGAGAACAAGCTCTAAACTCAATAAAACTAAAACTAATTACTATTGTAGTAAATATTACTCTCTCCGTCCCCCTAAGATGTTTTCATTTTGACTTTTGGTGATTTTTAAGGAGAGTTAAAAAAGTGAAAATTTACCATAATATCTTAATGAAAAATGGGTGGAGTGTATTAAATGAGGCAAGTGAGGTGTAATAAATAAAGTGGAGATAGTTGTAGTATTTTAATTGTTAAAAAATAAAATGAGAAGATGTATTGTTGCCCTTACATTCTCACCAGTCTCTCCCCAACACATTACTGAGATTTCTTTGCACAGTCCACCATTAAAACTCTATCTCCAGGAGTGGTGAGTTTCTTTTCTTTTCTTTTCTTCTCGTATTATTCTGAGGGCAATGCTTCTCCAATTTTGGGTGAATGATTGTAGTTACTTTATCCGAACTGACGAATCTCTGTATGCGAATTTCTTAGGTGTAGAGGAGTCGTAAACCTTATCTCGGAGCAATTTGATTGCTCAGCAATTGATCGCGTTTGTGATCATTGATTGGTTCTAGGGTTTCGTAAACTTTTTATCAACAAGCAAGCGTTTCGAAATCCACATTTTTTTTTGTTGCTAATTGGACGAAATGAACGCAGGGTTTTTGACATACAGAAATTTATGTCATTTTTTTTTTTGAAGAAAATGTTGAAATTTTCTTCATTTATAGTGTTTTCTCTTGCACAATTGAAGAAATGTATTCGTTTTTGTAGTAGTCTTTGACAGTTTTAAGACTGTCTTTAGTGTTTTCTCTTGTAGCCCTAGCTCTTGTATGAACCTCCACAAAGAATCCACCTTTTTTTATTGATTCATTAGTGGTTAGCCTAAAACACCCCATTTGACTCCACATTGTTTGCAAATTCAAAAACACAATCTTTTCATTTTTGCGCCTCATAGAATTCTGGTCATGAATAGAAATATGAGTTGTTCCTTACCGTTGGAGCCTTTTGTGTGGCGCAACCATATGTGAGTATGTGACACATTGTGTGGAGGGTAAATTTGGAATTTGTTTTGCGTTAGACCATAAATTTAGAGTCCCGCCATGTTTATTCAGTTAAATGGGACAATTTTGGTGGTGCTTTTCCAACACATAAAATTTTGTTAAGAGTGTTACTTGCAAAGCGCCTACTCTTTAAGGTGGTTTAAATTTTTCTCTTTCGTTTTAATTGCAAAACATCTCCTTTACAAAGTGAAGAACTTATGCATAA